AAAAAGAAATGAGAGAATTTTTCGATAATTTTGACCTCAAAGACATTAAACAATGCTATCAAGTAGAGAATTATATCTTTATTAACTGCTCTTGCTGTTCAGAATTATTTATCGAGGACATTAATGATCCTGGAATAATCAAAAAATTATGCAACCAATATTCTTTTTTATTTGAATAAAACAATAATATAAAGATTTTATTTATAAAAAATTTATATATTTTCTAAATATCTAACTTTAATTGTTTTTCTTTTTCTCTATCTACTATTTCTATATCATCTATTTTATGTTTTGTATTTGATTCTATTTGTGGGTCTAGAACTATCAATTCTATATTATTTTCAATAAAATTAATAGGCATTTTGTCAACCTAATGCAATTTTTGATGTAAATTCTTATGCAATGATTCTATATTATCTGGAATAATGATATTTTTTGGGAGCTCAGAATTCCAAAATTCATTGTAGACAGTAAATATTTTTCTGTCTAAATCTACATTTGCGACAATACCACCTAATACGTAACTCATATTAATTTCCCGTTTCATAAAAATATAACCATCTTGCTCATACCAATTGTCAAAATTATCATCGTAAACGTATCTCTTTGCCTCTTCCAAACTAATATCTTCTGCAAATTTAATATCGAATCTACCATTAATAAAATATAACAAATCACCTGTCTGATATGGTTTTAACCAATCGATTCTAAAATTAACTACTCCTTCTTTGTATCGACCCAACATTTCTATGATATAACCATGTGTATAAACTCGCGATTTTGAAAATCTTCTATACAATGCAATTTTTGACTCTGAGCTTTTAATTTCTTCGTGATCAAATACACGCTTTCTAAAAGTAAAAATATCATGAAATGGATCTTGTGCTGTGAAAATATTGTATTTAGACACAACCTCGACAGGTTTTTTATTCTTTCAACTGATAACGCATTTATCTTTCTCACAAAGATTTAATAGATCCTGAAACTTCCAAGTGTTATGTGACAGTTCATGCTTGTAAATAATCTCGTTATTGTTATAATTATCAAAATATTTTGGAACATTCGCCTTCTTGCAAGCTTCTCGTCCTTTTGCGAGTTCTTTGACAATTCTTTGAATAATCATTGTCTTTCCTGAACCAGAATCACTATAAAAATAAAAATTCTTTGGATAGAATCTTTTTTCAGGAATGTATTTCAATCTGTTTTCTAATTCTTTTCTATCCTTTGCCATCTGTTTTACAGCTAGATATGAACTATACCAATCAGTTGGTTGTAATTCTGGATGTTGAAGAAGATAATCAGGATCAAGTTGTTCATCATGTATTTTTTGCTTTCTATATTCATTATCTAATCTTATCATATTGAGCTTATCAATTGTCTCATCAGATAAGCCTTCCAACATCCAAAAATTTCCAAAAATAAATGGTCCAGCACCTTCCTCATCTAACAATTCTTTCTTTCTTTTC